TACTGGCTTAAGCAGGGGGACACGTCTGGCACTGCAGGATTTGAGTCCCTGGCGGCATAGTGTGTTACTGATGGTAGCCTTTGTTACTTTGGTCCCAGCTCTCTGCAGATCATTCACTAGGCCCCCCCGTGTGGTTCTGGGATTTTTACTCACCGTTCTTGTGATCATTTTTACCCCACGGGGTTAGATCTTGCGTGGAGCCCCAGAGCAAGGAAAATTATCAGTGGTCTTGTATGTTTTCCATTTTCTAATAATTGATCCCACAGTTGATTTCTTCACACCAAGCTGTTTACCTATTGCAGATTCAGACTTCCCAGCCTGGTGCAGGTCTATAATTTTGTTTCGGGTGTCCTTTGACAGCTCTCTAGTTTTGGCCATGGTAGAGTTTAGAGTATGACTGTTTGAGGTTGTGGACAGGTGTCTTTTATACTGATAACGGGTTCAAACAGGTGCCATTAATGAAGGTAACGAGTGGAGGACAGAGGAGCCTCTTACAGAAGAAGTTACAGGTCTGTGAGAGCCAGAAATCTTGCTTGTTTGTAACTGACCAAATACTTATTTTCCACCATATTTTGCAAATAAATTCTTTAAAAATCAGACAATGTGATTTTCTGGATTTTTTTTCTCATTTTGTCTCTCATAGTTGAGGTATATCTATGATGAAAATTACCGACCTCTCTCGTCTTTTTAAGTGGGAGAACTTGCACTATTGGTGGCTGACTAAATACTTTTTTGCCCCACTGTAAATACTGATTTTTTTAAAAGCCATTTTGTAGTTCCCATGGTTCCTAAATGCAACAGCTTTCCAATATTTCCTTCAAGCGCTTAAACTGCAAGTCATAATCGCATAACCTATTTAAGACCTGCCCACGCAGTGACACAGACATCAATTTGAAAAAAAAAACAAACAAACAATTAAATGAAATATTTAATCTCAAAAGCAGTTTCAAACATTTCTTTTCAATTTTTAAAACGTTCCAAATAATTTTCAGCTTCAAAAACATCCTTTTTGGACACATTTTATGGCTACAATTTAGCTCCATACTTTCCATCTTTGGAGAAATTTCTCAGCCATCAGAGCATAGATCTGGTTTCACCAGCAAAGCTTCATTTAAGACTCTGAACAGTTTTAAATCAAATATATACTAGGTCTGCTCTTACGCTCAAATTCCCCTTACCCCTTAAATTTTTACATAATGGTTTTCATTTATTTCTAAAGATTCACAACCTACAGGAAGCATAAATTTTGGGCTCTTACATTTAATATGGCGCCTACTCTACAGAAAGTCTTTTGTCTAAAATTGGGCCGCGTGCTTAAAGGTAAAGCAGAAAAGAGTCAAAGCAAGAAGAGCAAGTGGCCTGTACCCTTTCTGCTGGAGGAAGAAAATGTGGGCTCAGATGGATAAGAGGTCTGATTAAAGGTTAAGATATTTCTCCATGTGATGACTCAATAATATATGTGGATATAATAGATGTATGCAACGTAACTCAAGGTAACACCTGTAAATAGACTAGTAAAATACTATCAGCCTCGAGGGATGTGTAGGCGAGAACACTTAGTTTTGATTTGGAGAGATGAAAAAAAATAACAGCAAAGGTTTAGAGACAATTAAGAAGAAGGAAAACTTAGGAAGAAAGAAAGGTAAGGGGGACTGAGGAGGTCGCCAAACTTGACTGGTCCAGGAGGAAACAGTAAACTGCTCTGGGTCAGCTGAAGCGACGCTGTGCTGGCAGCACGCTGAGCTGTAGCTGTGGTAATAAGCTCAATACAGTATGAATTAAAAGAAGTAGACAAAAAAAGGAAACAGTCCAACACACAGGGAAAAGTTTGAGGCGTTGCCGTAGCAACAGCAGTAGGAGGCAAACGCCAAGAACAGGAGAAACCAAGCAGAACAAAAAGAGTCGAGTGACTCTTAAATTTAGAAATATACATTTGACAGCAGCGTATTGTCAGGCCAGTGGAACCAGTGATGAGTTGAAACGGCTGCTCTGAGGTTTTTTTTTTCCTTTTTTTATTTTTACCAGATTAACGTTTTCAGAGTGAGTGTTGCACTTCTTTTAGACTGTTCTCCTTTTTTTCCTCCCCTCTCGTTTTTTGGTGCATAAGCTCCATAACGAGAGAGAAAATGTCTATTACTGTGCTCCAAAAGGCAGTGGTCCAGTTAAAAACCAGTGAACACGCAGGCCAAACCTATTTCAATCTCAACTAAAACAAAGGAGGGACAGCTCCTTATTGCATTTGCCACAAGGACTTTTAAGAAAAGCAAAAAAGGAGACCAACCACGAGGAATAACTTGAAATGTTGACAAAGATCTGCTGTTAATCTGCCACTTGGATCTTCCAAACTCCATTGATGCCGTCTTGGTTAATTTACTAAAACCCCAACCCTTTATTTTTTTAACTTTTCCATTGGTCTCCTCCTATTTACCACAGAAGAACATACGGCTCCAGCTGCTTAACCTGTTTAAAAATTATGCACTATAGAACATCTGACATTCAGCTTTTAGAGGGAGGTTGCCAAACTTCTTCTCACCACATCTTCAGTAAAAGCATCATCTGAGGGCGGCCTTCCACAATCAGCCTCTTGGCAAAGCTTGAGTCTAACAAGAGGTCCTCTGTGGACTTGAGTGCCTATTCTTCTTGAAATTAGTTTTCCATTCCTTACTTCATCTCACTCCGCCATTCCCGCCCTCTTCTTTTTTTTCTCTTTTCTTTTGTGCTTTGTTAGGAGGTTGCTTCCTGCGGTGAGCGTGGCACTGCCCGGGCACATGTTCTGTGGTAGGCCTGATTACAGCCCTGCTGTAGTGCTGACATTGGCCTGCACCAGCTCCTCATCTTTAAACACACACATACGCAGTCTTTCAGTGGGCCCTAAGTTCCACCAACTCTGCCAGCAGCTACCGCGGCATGACTTCACCCGGCAACCATTCTTTGCGTCAAACAAAATGCCTCTGTCACCAGAAAAAGAACGGTAGCTCAGAGGGAGGAGGAGGAGGAGAAAGGGCGAAAAAGAAAGAGAGGGGTGGGGAAGGAGAAAAGAGCGTGGATGTGCGGTGGCTGTGTGAAGGATTTGATGTTTTCGGGCCACACTTGGGGATAATTTTAGCCAAGAGGCCCCCAGATGACAAGCTGCTCTGAGAAGGTCTCTCCAAAGTGGAGTGGCAGGCAGATTGGCAGAATTAGAGCAAGCACAGAATTATGGGAAGATGGAGAAGCAAAAAAACAAAAAACAAAACAAATGTACAGTCTGTGTGCATGGCGGCCAAATGAGTTTCCTTTTAGTATAGAAATACAGAAAAGTGGGTAACACACACTTTAGAAAAGAGAAAACCTTTTTAGCTTTTTGATTTTCTAAATAAGAAAACAAAAACTGTTAGCTCTATTACGACAGTATATTTAAAGATGAAGACTTAGAATCAGAAAACGAAGGCAAAGTTAGATTTTTAATTTTGGATTCACTGTCCATGACTTACACCTTACATGCTGATCTCACTGTAGCTCCATAAGGACTGTTTTCCAGCAAACCCGTGCAATGTCATCGTTTCTGCAATGAAGTTTATTTCATGCAACAGTTTAATGCAAAACGTCTCTTTGTGTTTTACGTACTGCTTCCTATATAGGCGGGTAATGTGTAGGGAAAACTAGTTGTTTCTCATTTTCCGTTACTCTGTTCTTCTTTAGGATATTGGATAACATCTTGTTTCCAAGTGCGTTAATTTCTCTATCAACAGGAAAACTTGATGGCTGTCATGTACACGGTGCTTTTATGTTTGCTTATGACATTAAAACCAATAATATGGAACATTGTTGGTATTTGTGTTCCAGTCCCAGTTAACCTTGTTTATTGAATGATTGAGATGCCATTTTGGAACCATGGCAATCCTACATCACTGTTCTGAGAGATCAGACTGGGTGCTGGCCTTGTTGGAATGACAGCTACCTTAGACGAATTGTGAAAAATGTCGGCTGTGGAAAGACACGCAATCCAACAATTTTGTAGGAGCAAAAACACCGACTCCGGTCTTACCGTTGCGGTGCGGTGGGTGCGGCGCCGCAGTGATTCCAAGTCATTAAAAAGACGTAAACCTCTCTCACCAGCTGCTGAGCTGTCCGGCTGCGGTTACAGAGACACTCCGGCGCTGCAAAAAATTCCGCAAGAAAGCTATCCTTGCGGCGTGCCAGAGCCCTCCGCAACAAGCTCTCGCAAATATCCTTGTTTGGGCCGTGTTATCGCGTGAAGTTACGTGAACTCAAGTGAACTTCTGTTAAATCTCCGGACCTGTTGCCGGAGCCGCAGAGCCGCACCGCAACGTAGTCAAAAGGGCGGTGTGAGAGGGGGTGTGCGGGAGTTGCGGTCTCCGTCGGCTCGGTAACCGCACCGGAGCCAGTGTGAGCAAGGGGTTATGAGCAGCATGACCAAAGGCAGTCGTACTGGATTACTGGATTCAATTAGCTGGTAGCCTAAATAATGTTGGGAAAGCATCCTAAGGCTCTTGTTTCATAGGATTTTTTTATATACTCCTAAATGCATTTGATCACTTTTAAATTCTTTATCAAAGATGTATTTTAAAAAATGTACATTTTTTTCCTTTGTACCAGATGTTGTGATCATTGCATCTCTACACCTTTTTGTCAAACTGCAAGTAAACTCTGCAAGAATGTCAGTGGGCTGCAGCTCAGAAAACAATGTGTTCACTCAGTCAGCAGGTCTGGGAGAACATAGATCCAATATCTGTACTGGAAAATCTCTTGCTCCTGCAGGCTGTGTGCGTGAAACTAAGCCGATCTGTGGCTATCAGATAACCTGTATCCACCACAGCTTCTTGTTAAATCATCATATCTCAGCTGAATGACATTATCTTTTTACATTGCTAATTTCAGGCATGAAATATAAAAACTTGAAGAAAACAGGCTTTTATAACATTAAATTTTTCATATTTCTAAAATGTTGAGTTTTTGCTTGTATCAAAAGCCTCTAAGCAGGTTTCATGTCATTGCAGGAGAGGCTGCATTATGAGACTCTGAGCCAGCACCTGGGGAAGCTGGGAGAGGATGCAGGGAAGATGGTCCATCGAGTCATTGACCTGACTAGACCAGAGGATCTGGATGGTGGGTGTTTTTTTTTTTTTTTTTTTAACCTCCATTCCACTCTTTACTTTACTTTCTTTGCCCACCCTAGGGTCTTTTACAACCGTTGATCAGTTTCTCTTGTTTTCAGATGAGCTTTTGTTCCACCCTTGTTACTCAAAAATACATACAGATCTATTAAAAATCCAATTTAACCAAATATAAAAGGAAAACAGTCGTTTTTATTGATAATTTCTTTGTAATTCAGTTGCCGTCAACTTTGCTGAAACTATGCTCCCTGCAGTTTAAATTGAAAGCCAATTTTTTTTTTAAAACACTAGATTATATTATCTTCTTAAGTCTCCCATTTATTTTCAGGATTAAAGCCAAAGTCAGACAGAGCTTCAGTCCATTTTAATTTGTCTAAAAAATGATCAGAAATGACATTTTAAGTACACGGTATCTCATACGGTTTGTCCTAAACGTTCCACAGAACATAAAATATTCTCACTAAACGTCGCCTTAGAACACTCCAACCTCAGCCCACCTGTTTCTCATAAAGCACCACTGTTTACAAGAGATGAGAAGCTGAGGAGTGCTCATCGTGATTTAGTTTAGAGGCAGAGGATAAACACAGGAGCCTGGGGACTGAGATAGTATCAGTAGGGAGCAAACTGACTACAGTGCGCGATATTTGTGTCAAGATCTGCAAGGCATTTGAGAAAGACCTCACTAGAATGGTGTTGTTGGCTTTTGTTTTCACAGCAAACTAAAAAAGAAAAAAAAAACAATTCAGGGTTAAATTCTTTGTTTTATATTGTTTTTTATGATGAAAAGATGGGAAAGCATATGTGCTTATTTTGTCACCCCTTAGGGAATACTATCACAGAGGCGCGAGTGTTCAGAGAGGCACGCGGCAGGAACAGCAGCGAGCCCCACATCAAGAGGCCCATGAACGCCTTCATGGTTTGGGCCAAAGACGAGAGGAGGAAGATTCTGCAGACCTTCCCTGACATGCACAACTCCAACATCAGCAAGATCCTGGGTGAGATTCTCCTCCCCTCCCTTTTCTCAAACAATAATTCCTTGACTCATTTTCCTTTCAAACAGGACTATTAACTCCTTTAAAGAACCAGTTAATACTAGATATGCACGGAGAAACCATCTATTGAGTGAAATATGGCGTTTTTTTTGCTATGTCTTGATCTGGTTGGACAATTTGGAAATCCAAGAGGCTGCAGGGTTGTGTTTTTCACAACAGCCTTCAGTATGGATGTTAGGTTCCCAAAGTAGGGGGTCAGAACCCACTTAGGAGGTCACTAGACACCAAGTGGAGCGTCGCAAGATAGTTCTCACATGCACTGGGATGATTCCTGAGGTATAATGTATGGAAATAAATGGGAATGGCCCATGAGATAAGTAAGTGTAACATTTATTTATTTACATCTAATATATGATTCAAATATATAATTTACTCATAAAATTCACAAATAGATCATTGAACATGGATATAATTACCTAATTATATTGGTATTTTGTGGATCACAGGCTGAAATATTTTGGAAGCCCTGCTGTAACTGAGGGAAGATTAATTTTCAAAAGTATAGCAAATGAGAGGGAGAGTTTATCTGAACGGTACAGACATGTTTGTGATTCATTTACACTGAAAATGAGAGTAGGACTTTCAGGTGATCTGCTTAATGTTTTTGTAATGCTAGCGTTTGTAAATGCGCTAATTGCTAATATATTTTTTTATTTAATCATGCAGTTTATTTATCATCATACTGGAAATACAACACAATACATGCTGTGTAAGTACACCAGCTATTTCCAAGTTGATGAGTGAAAGTGTCAAAGATTTTAAAAAGGGGGCCTAAATTTTTCTCGAGTACTGGATATTGGCCAGATGTACTTATGAAATGGACAACATACGGGTTAATAGTAGATACACCATAGAATATCTCAGTGTAATGATTACACTGTATTTACTATAGAGAGCAATATCCAGTAATTAATCAATACATAAAACATGGGCGGCGCTAGACGAGGGGCCAACAGGGCCCGGTGCCCCTATAGAACTGGTCACAGCCCCTGCACTGAAAACTTAAACTGTAAAATTTAAATTTTAAGTCATTTATTTCTTTAAATAGGTATGAATAGCTTTGATTAAAGCAGATATGTAAAAAGAAATTGTAGCTGGAATAAAAAAGAAAAATAACAATTTTATAGTATCACTATATCAAGTGGATATTTTCAAATTATTTTGTTTTAAGGGCCAAACTCCTCCTTCCTTTGGTAGATCATCTTATTTCTGTGCTCAAATAGAAAAATAGAAAAAAATTTAAGAAACTTTTACCTATTTTAGGTCAGATTTTGCAGTGTAATATTAAAGGTATAGTGGAGGATTTTTGCCCGCCCTATCCACTTTAAAATAAACAGTGCACATCCCTGTACCCGCTCCCAAGAGGGAACGCCTATTAAACACGTGCAAGAGCATGCACAAGCCCATTTCTCCTCGTGCACGCTGTGTTTTAAAGTTGATGTTTGCATCGCTCACACAAGCTTACTTTCCAAAACAAGATTTGCAATTTTTTGCAATGTCAGACTCACCACTGGTAAGTGAAAATGGCGACCAGCACGTAGGACATCCTTATGTAAACATATCACCAGAATGACTGACAATTTAAAGGGACCACTTATTTAGATGATCCACCCTGAAAAAGAACATCCTCAACTATACCTTTAAATAAGTTTCATATTACTGTATGATATGTGTTCACAGAAAAGACTATTCACCTATTTGTTACTTAAAATAAATTAATATCTTGTTAAAGATTGGCTCTGTGTACTCACTGACTCACTCAATAAACTAAAAAATGCCCCCTTGCTTGATTTTTTTGTGTTGTTCTTTGCCCCTATTAAAAAATGAGATTAAACACACATTGCTGTGAGCTTAGTCTTTAGCTCGCACAGGAAGATGGAGAGGGAATATGACATTTTTCCTTTTTCATCAATCTCTTTTTCTCTGGACCTAATGCAAAAACTTGCATTTTAATCACTTTTTCCCTTTAATAATTCGATTTTTATTCTTAGTGCTATAGATGTACCCAGGAGTACTGGTTGGAATGAGGCCACATAGTTTATGGTGTAGTTTGTGAACAGTCAGGTACATTACAGAGGCATTGTGAGAGTAGTTATGCTCGCTAAGCCTCAGGAGACTGAAAAAGTGGAAAATCGTTTAGTTAGACCACGTTAAGGAGTGTATGAATTCTTTTTGGATTATCACAAGCTTTAAGAGATGGGTTGGGAATGTCATACACCATATGATATTACATTATGGCAAAGAAGGTTAAATGAGAATGAAAAGTTCAGAAAGTAGAAGATAATGTCTTGACTTAAACAACAATGCAGCATATTTAGATAGTTTAGTTCTACGATGATCGATATGTCTTTTTAAAGTTAAGGAACTCCTCAAAATACATCCCCAAAAAATTAGTAGAACTGCCTCTTTCAGTATTTTATCCAGTGCTAAATCCAAGTATTATTAAATTCCTTTTGTCTGTGGTATAATAGCTTCCCAAAACTGGTGGTAGCATGTCAAAGCTTTAGAAAAATCTGGAATTCGAACATCAGCCGCATTATCCAAAAATGGCAGTTTGCTAAAATCATCCCCCCGCACTGTATTCCACAGTTCACAGGGTTTCCTACCAACAAACTGCAGATTATGCGAGGGGCTAAAGTGCTCTTCAACCAGTACACAGAGCTCCTCTGTCACCTTGACTTGTGTGATGGATGCATTCAGTTCAAATCCTTGGGGATTCTGACCTCCTCCACACAGATATCCATTCACCCTGCGCTGAGCGTAACGCTTGTTCATGCTTCATTCCTAAGGCCTCCGATGTTCTACACAGAGTCAGAGCCAGCGGAACGTAAATGCTGCTCCTGAGCCGTCAACAAAATGCTCTTTCCTGACAGGTTCTATGGTGTTGACTCAGTTTTGACTAACAGACATCATCCTTTATGTGACGAAAGCTCTGTGAATAAGCCTTCTGGGTCGTTATTATTCTTGTGTAATGAGACTCAGAGGGGGAAAAAAAGGAGGAATTGTGTACGTGTATATGACCATACATATACAGTCCATGTCCTCCCAACATTAAAAAAAACACAGCTGGCTTTTTGGGGAGAAGGTGGGTGGCAAGCTTGAAACAAACTCCCCTCTGTTTCCTGTGTCACAAAAGTACAAGAAAAGTTTGTGATAAACCTCGATAAACAGACAAGCGAGGCTGAGTGTGTGTAATCAAAGCGCTTCACAGATGTGCTGTGTTCCCGCAGTAAGGGCCTCGTCCACTTGTTACTGAGGTCCTCTTTACTAGGAAACAGTAGAGGCACAAAATGTATCATTCTTCTTGGGCTAAGGGCGAGCAGACAGGAATCCACTTCTGGTTTTAAACAGCCTCTAATGCCTAACAGTGGGTCATCACATTCCAAAAAAACACACCAGGACATGCCTTCAGTTAGCTCTCCTTTACCTTAAACTTTATAAAGTGTTTTTCTACAGATATCTTATGTGTAGAGTTAACTTTGTAATGGGGAAAAGAATAATAATAATAAATGTGTTTCAGGTTCTCGCTGGAAAGCAATGACCAACCAGGAGAAGCAGCCGTACTATGAAGAGCAGGCCCGCCTGAGCAAAATCCACTTGGAGAAATATCCCAACTACAAGTACAAGCCACGGCCCAAGAGGACCTGCATCATCGACGGCAAGAAGCTGCGCATCGGGGAGTACAAGCAGCTGATGCGCTCACGGCGTCAGGAGATGAGGCAGTTTTTCGTGGGGTGAGCAGAGCTTTTCATTCTGAAACTTGAGGTGACTGAGGATTGGTTGATGAACAAATCATTTCATTCCCTACTTGAAAATAGAATAGAAATAAAAATGCTATTTAATTCGCTGCTCTTGCTCTGTCATTAGATTGAGAATGTGATAACAGTGGGTAGAATTATAAAACTTAACATAATTTAATCTTTTTAAAAGACCATCATTTATCCATACTGCTGCAACATAATAACACCCTAATATTATTAGCTGTTTAGATTATGTTATCTATAATATCTAAGTTCTTAGCTCTGTGACAAAAATATGGAGAAAACTATTGTCTTGCAGGGTAATATACATTAATAACACAAATCCAACAAGTTAAATTAGCTCCTTAAAAGGAAAGTTTAGAGATTTCAAGTGAGGGTTTTGTAAAAGACTATCAGTTTTATCTTCCATACAGTAGATAACGCTATCTACTTTCCTACCAGAAGTGGAAATCTAAACCATTAAAAAAAAAACAAGTGTCACATTGACTATGATGACATTTTTGAGAGATATTAATCAGTGGCGGCTGGTGAAAAATATTTTTGGTGGGGCTGATATAGCCTAGTGTATGTCTCCAACTAATCCGGAATAAGAATTCAAATAAACAATTGGACAATACATACAATTTAACAGTAATGATTTCATTTACTATATAATAACAGTAACAGTGATGATTTGGGTCACTGTGACGGGGTTCTTTGGCCTCCAAGAATCCAGTCTCAGTCGGGTTACCGGTGTTGTTGATTTATTGAGCTCAAAAACTCAAAACAGGGGGCAAAAGAAACTAAACATGTACAAGATACTCTGGGCCTCAGCCTCCCTCCAGTTACCAGCAATGTAACAAAGAAACAGAAAACAAAAATTGCCGCTTTTCTTCCCACAGCCCTCATTAAATAGTTTAAGACCCTCACCTCAGGCTCTCTTATTTCTGATTTCTTCTCATTAATCAGTTTTGTCCATATATTACCTCCACAAACAATTGATGTACAAAAACAAATAATTTTTACAACTTAATTCTTTTACACAGATTCATTGACTTATTCAATTACACCAAACTGGGTTTGAACCCAGCAAAGACGCAGCCAGACTGAAGATGACAAGTCCCCATAGCATAAACACGTACACACCCACATACCCACACACACACACACACACACACACACACACACACACACACACACACACACACACACACACACACACACACACACACACACACACACACACACACACACACACACACGGCTAACCCCAATGAAATATTAAGTGTGCACCCTCAATACGCAGCAGGTAACCAGGACATCTTGTGTGTTTTAAGTTCATGGAGCTACTGGGCTCAGCGCGAGTGTATTGGTCCTCACAAACACAGTATAACAGGAATGTGTGTGTGGCACGCAAAGTTAGAGAGGTTGTTTTAAGAGACGAGGTGGATTCGTCACAGTCACAAAAACCATGACATGAAATGTTTATATCCTACAACAGGGATGTTCTTCTGGCAAACGGGTAGATAAATAAGGATCTCACCGAATTTGGTGGAAGCTGCATCTCGTTCGTTACATTCGCCATCTTCCCTCTAATTGTCTGCACCTGCGCTTGGGTTCAGAAGCCTGTTAAAGCGCAGTATTTTCAGCGCCCCAAGACCATAAAGTTCCGAGACGCTGATTGGCCATTAAATTCATCTAGCAATAGTACATGATTGACAGATTCTCTGCAAATGTGGGGCTGTCTGATCAGCGCCCCCAGAACAGAGACGGTAGGAGTCTGTCTGTGGAAATCCACAAATTAATGACAGTAGATAGGGAAATGTAGTTTATATAATTTGTTTTGCTTATAGGCAAGGGCGTAGGAATATGTTTACAATTGGGGGGGACACATGTCGGAAATCTGAGATTCGTAAATATTCAACAGAAACATGTCTTAAGTACGCTACTTTAAAAAAAGGCTATTTAATCTTTTACTTTATTCCTTTATAAATGTGTCTTGCAAAAATAATGCATTTAAAATTTACATAATGCATTTGTTCATAAGATGTGAGCATATCACCAAACAAAATGACTGGAGTCTTTTATTAAGCAAAGGGAGATGTCTTTCAAGGTCTTCAACCCTTGGCATATTTAGTGTCCGCATACGCACTAGAAAATCAAATATTTCAGTTGGATTAAAAACAATTCAGTAGGCCACAGAAGTGCAAAGTTTGATATGTTTTATTTTGTCAAACTTGCAATAATGGTCAAAAATGAATTTATATAGATTGACTGACAGAGGGAGCTGACAGTGTGGCTAAGAATTATGGACAGGGCGCTTTGAAGCATCTGGTTCAAAAACGCATTCTAAATCTTTGGTAGAAATCCATCTATCCTTCCATTTTCTGTACACCCTGTCCCTTAGTGGGGTCAGGAGGTGCTGGTGCGCCAGTCTGTCCCGACCTTTGGTAGAAATGGCGTCTTTAATTCCAATTTGCAGTACAGAACAGAGAAAACTACAGAGTTGTCAATGTTGTGTTAATCTGTTTATAGTCTAAAAAGAGGAGCCAGCAGTTTATTTGAGGAAATAAAGGTGCAGAAGTTAATTAGTTGGTTAATTAGTGGTTGTGCAGCAGTTCGCTGCTAAGAATTAAAATTAATTCTCCCTGTGGTTTTAACTAACGATCAGGAGCGCGGCAGGTATAACATCTGTCCATTTCGGCGAATCAAAACCACACAAAAAATAAAAAATCCCAGACCGGGCTAATTTCAACACAAGTTGTGTAAGGTGACTGTTACTCACACTGACGTTTCTCTTTTTTAAAAATCTGAGTAAGTCCTACTGCTGTTTAAGCCTTTTAGTTGGTGGTGGCATTGTACTGAAATGAGATATATAAAAAAAAAAAAAATAACATTTTGGCTAGCGTGGCAAACATCTAGAGAAAGTTAGCAGTTAAATATTGGATGAGTGATCAGCCCAAGACTACGGAAGAGGATTAGGGCCACTGAAAAAAGTTAAGTGATTTTTAAATTTTATTTCAGTTTAATACAGGAAAAAAGTCAGAATTCTGACTTTTTTCTCAGAATTCTGACTTTTTTTCACAGAATTCTGACTTTAATCTCATAATTCTGACTTCTTTCTCAGAATTCTGACTTTAATCTCAGAATTTTGGATCTTAATGTAGATGGGCACCATGAAGGTAGAGATGTGGAGCATTCAGCTTCACTGATAAAGATTTGAGTTGTTTGAGATGGCCAGTGACATATTGGTGAAAAATTACAGAATTAGGCAACTTTTGATGTGCCCGAGGGGTCCCCCTTATAAATGGAAGAGCAGAAGGTCATTAAAACAAGAGAGCTAGTCTCTAAAACAGACATGGCTATGGCTTGATGCTAACATGTTTGTTTTTAAACATACTTTTGTTATATTACATTTGTGTTGTGTTTTCCAAATAGTGTAGAAAATGAATGGTGGGTTTATAATGTTTACCTTTTATGAGCAGGACAGGAAGCAGAGAAGTGTAGCATTACCTCCAACTAGTTAAACTCATAATTGTGAAGTTATTCAACAAATTCCTCAAGTAAAAAAGTGCAACTTTTATTTTTTATTTATTTATTTTTTACCAGATTTGTTGATTAATTTCAAAATTATGTATTCCTTCCAAATTTCCAAATCTGAAGAATTTTTTAAACCAATATCTACATTATTTAACATTTAGTTTGTTTTAGCAGTACTTCCTGTTATATTTCTTTATACGTATATTTTACATTTTCTTGCACAGCAAGCTCAGCAGATTTGAAATTGTGTGCTTGTGTACAAGTAGTAAATCTTTACTCTAAACATATATTCTGGTTATTTTTTTAGTTAGACCTTCTTGTTTTTATATATCTGTATAGTACCCCCCCCCCCCCCCCCCCCAAAAAAAAAAAAAAAACACTGTAAATTGATTAGAAATATTAATCATCTGTCAGATTTCTGAGAAAAAAGTCAGAATTCTGAGATTAAAGTCAGAATTTTGAGGAAAAAAAGTCAGAATTCTGAGATTAAAGTCGGAATTCTGAGATTAAAGTCAGAATTCTGAGAAAAAAGTCAGAAGAAAAAAGTCAGAATTCTGAGAAAAGTCAGAATTCTTACTTTTTTACCCATGTTAAACTAAAAAAAAATTTAAAAATCAGTTAACTTTTTTTTTTCCAGTGGCCCTAATCCTCTTTCGTACAAGACTAAGATGACTAAACCAAAAAGATTCAGTTTCTACAGGTGCTGGTCATAAAATTAGAATATCATGAAAAAGTAGATTGATTTCAGTAATTCCATTTAAAAAGTGAAACTTGTATATTATATTCATACATTACATACAAACTCATATATTTCAGATGTTTATTTTGTTTAATTTTGATGATTACAAATGACAACAAATGAAAATCTCAAATTCATCATATCAGAAAATTAGAATATTGTGAAAAGGTTCAAAATTGATGGCCCCTGGTGCCACACTCTAATCAGCTAATTAACTCAAACCACCTGCAAAAGCCTTTAAATGGTCTTTCAGTCTAGTTCTATAGGCTACACAATCATGGGGAAGACTGCTGACTTGACAGTTGTCCAAAAGACGACCATCGACACCTTGCACAAGGAGGGCAAGACACAAAAGGTCATCGCTAAAGAGGCTGGCTGTTCACAGAGCTCAGTGTCCAAGCACATTAATAGAGAGGCGAAGGGAAGGAAAAGATGTGGTCGAAAAAAGTGTACAAGCAAGAGAGATAACCGCACCCTGGAGAGGATTGTGAAACAAAACCCCTTCAAAAATGTGGGGGAGATTCACAAAGAGTGGACTGCAGCTGGAGTGAGTGCTTCAAGAACCACCACACACAGACGTATGAAAGACATGGGTTTCTGCTGTCGCATTCCTTGTGTCAAGCCACTCTTGAACCACAGACAGCGTCAGAAGCGTCTTGCCTGGGCTAAAGAGAAACAGGACTGGACTGCTGGTGAGTGGTCCAAAGTCATGTTCTCTGATGAAAGTAAATTTTGCATTTCCTTTGGAAATCAAGGTCCCAGAGTCTGGAGGAAAAGAAGAGAGGCACTTCATCCACGTTGCTTGAAGTCCAGTGTAAAGTTTCCACAGTCAGTGATGGTTTGGGGTGCCATGTCATCTGCTGGTGTTGGTCCATTGTGTTTTCTGAGGTCCAGGGTCAACGCAGCCACATACCAGGAAGTTTTAGAGCACTTCATGCTTCCTGCAGCTGACCAACTTTTTGGAGATGCAGATTTCATTTTCCAACAGGACTTGGCACCTGCACACAGTGCCAAAGCTACCAGTACCTGGTTGAAGGACCATGGTATCCCTGTTCTTAATTGGCCAGCAAACTCTCCTGACCTTAACCCCATAGAAAATCTATGGGGTATTGTGAAGAAGAAGATGCAATACACCAGACCCAACAATTCAGAAGAGCTAAAAGCCACTATTAGAGCAACCTGGGCTATCATAACACCTGAGCAGTGCCACAGACTGATCGACTCCATGCCACGCCGCATTGCTGCAGTAATACAGGCCAAAGGAGGCCCAACTAAATACTGAGTGCTGTACATGCTCATACTTTTCATGTTCATACTTTTCAGTTGGCCAACATTTCTATAAATCCTTTGTTTTTATTGGTCTTCAGTAATATTCTAATTTTCTGATATGATGAATTTGAGATTTTCATTTGTTGTCATTTGTAATCATCAAAATTAAACAAAATAAACATCTGAAATATATGAGTTTGTATGTAATGTATGAATATAATATACAAAGTTTCACTTTTTAAATGGAATTACTGAAATCAATCTACTTTTTCATGATATTCTAATTTTATGACCAGCACCTGTATATATGAAAGTGAACTGACAACAAAGACGTTTTAAATAGGCAGCATCCCGACAGACCATTTTACCTCTTTCACAAGTTTCTGACTTCTGTATCGCTGTCTCCCTCCCTTCACTCTCACTCAGCAGTTCAGAGAGGGGAGGGGGAGTACAGTGACGTAACGCTATGCTGCGCCTTCAAAATAAAAGCACGCTAGTAAAAAAATGTCAAAATCTAATATTTTGCGGTACAATTTTTTGGGGGGGACATATCCACCTGGCTTTTATTTTGGGGGGGACATGTCCCCCCCGTCCCCCCCGCTTCCTACGCCGCTGCTTATAGGTACACAGTCTAGAGAGTAAAACTGACATTTATGAGTTAATTTCTAAAAATATATTTTACGTTTCTCTCTTCTTATCAGGGAGGGCGGTGCCCCAGCGCCCCCTATGGGCCGGCCGCCACTGATATTAATATAGTTTTAACTAAAACTTTAAGAATCTATGTTGAGGTTAAGGCTGTGTGCTTCAGTATCTAGCCTGCAGTCTGCTGCTTAACATAACGGTTGTTGCTACCATGCTAACAGTGCATAGCATAACGCATAGCGGAATTACTGTATTGAGGGAAATCGCTCAAATTCTATTGGTTCTCAGATCCCCATCCTCTAAGAAATGCAACATCAGCAGAAAACATGAATGAGGAGCAGTATTGTGTTTTTTTTTTATTGTTCGTCGTATTTTCTACATATTTTTATGTGAGAATCAGTAACCATTGTGAAGCTCTTTGGTCAACTCAGGTTGCTTTTAATGTGTGATATAAAGACATTTCAACTGAATTGAATTTTACACTTGATACAACTCGAAAAATTAGCCTTTCCTAAAGTCGTAGTGAAATTATGTTTAAATGTCAAATCATTCTGGCTTAAACATGGATATAAATGTACTCTTTATCAGACAATATTGTCCCAAAATGTAGAAAATTTCTATAAAAAAAAAAATCCTGTCTTAAAATCTGTGTTGTTGTTTTCGTTATCTTATGCAGGCCAGTTAGTTATACGTCAGCCTGTACATCTAAATTCGGCCAAACATATGTCAATGTTTGTTAATGTTGTGTTAATGTTCTAATTTATACTTTTTTTTTCTTTTACATTTTATTGTTTTGATTATGTTTTTCTGCTGCTGTTCAAATTTCGGGGTTTGGAGGTTTTAAAATCCACTTTAAAATCTACACACAGACAAGAGAATTTCGACATATAGAGAAAAGTATAAAACAATTTTTTATTCTTACAGAAAAAAAGTTTTGTAAAAAAACAAAATAATTCGATGACAACTGATAACTTTATTTGAGGATTTATCCTCTCATCTGTGCTGCACTTTATGGAAGGTCGGAAACCTCCTGTGGCTCCATCTGCAAAATCCTTCAAGCTTTCATTTAAGAACATTTTATTTAAGAGTATATTCGGCGCAGAGAAGGGGAAACAGTGGCATTGTCTTTAATGGAAACCAGTCGAGGACGTGTTTAAAGCCATCACAGCGTTCTGTGTTGGAGATGGATTTACCAGAGGCCGCGGCTTGAATGGGAACGATTTTTAATAGCTTGTCATTTATTAAATCAGGACAATGGCGGGTGCTTGTGGGCAGTGAAACCAGAGACAGACAGACAGAGTGGAATATGAAATGTAAGCAGATGTTTGAGAGGGGAAACGAGAGCGCTGCAGACGTCACCGGCTGAATGCCACATTTTCTGTGTGTGTGTGGTCAAGTAAAAATGAAAAAACGCTCAGGCTCTCTATGCCTGGACTTTCAGTTAGAGCTGCTTTATGGCCCAGTCGACAGAGCTAAACCGGCGACCCCCTAATGTGACGACAAGGGTGATGAAGAATATGGTAGCAGCAGCTAAAGGAGACAAATAAGTGAGAACCGTTGGTTGAGAAAACACAAGTTTTTCCTGCCCTATGTGGTTCGTTTAGGGAGGTTCACAGCAAAAAACATGAAATCTAACTAAGCAATTCCTTTTTAAAATAAGTGCATTTTTTCTTGGATTGAGGAGGTAGGTGAGACACTTTGCCAATGGAATGAGACAATTTACACTTAAAATAAGAAAATCACAATTGCATTGTTTAATTTCAAGTGCAAATTATCCAATTATTTTAATTTAAAGGTAAAAATTCTCATTCCATTGCCAGATCATCTTATGAACCTCCTCAAATTAAGGGTAAATACACTTAATTTTAGGAGTTTTTACTAATTTCTAGATTGTTTTTGCAGTGTCCATACTCCTCACTGGAAAAACGATCTAGAAAAAATAAAAAATGTCTTAAATTAAGTGTATTTACTCTCAATTTGAGTAGGTAAATGAGATAGTTTGTCAATGGAATGAGTATTTTTACTCTTAAAATATGATAATTAGATAACATGCACTTGAAATAAGACAATGCAACTGTGTTTTCTTATTTTAAGTGTAAATTGTCTTGTTCCATTGGCAAGATGTCTCTTTTACCTCCTCTATCCAAGAACAAATGTGAAATTACTTATCTAGATTTTGTTTTTTTCCCCAGTGTTTAATTGTTTTTACTCTCATTCTAATTGTATTTTATCAGGCTAATTTGCTGATGTGAAAAGAGCTTGCTGGTAGAGCTTCATGTTAGGACACATCAGCCCCAAAACTTGCACTGCATCTAATATCAGCAGGTCAACAACTGAGGGATTTATTGGAAAACATCACAATTTTTATGAAACCACCCACAACTTTGTGTTTTTATGTACTTAATCTGGTACATTCTGGAGCCTTTTTTTTTTTTTTTTAAACCTTAGTTTGTTTTTACATTTCTTAATTGTGCGTTTTATTTTATCCCTCTCCTTTCATTGCCATTTTCAGGCCTCAACCCCAGATTTCTCTCGGCAACAGTGCAGGAGGTGTAGGAGTTTACCCAGGCGCAATAACCATGGCAACAACAGCAACACCCTCACCACATCTGACCTCAGACTGCTCGAGCACCTCGGGCAGCCCTGAACCCAACATCCCGGTCATCCAGAGCACATACGGGGTGAAGTCGGAGCCCGGCGGGGGCAGCAACGGAGCAGGGGTCGGCGCTATGGATCTACCCGGAGACCCCGCAAACGGAGACGATGACATGGACATGTACGAGGACTTTGAAGACGAGCCCAAATCGGACTATAGCAGCGAGCACGAGACGAGGGAGGTGGTTAGCGCCAACTGACCACGATGGGAGCGTGTAAAAATTAAAAAGAAAGGGGGAATCCTTTTACACCTAGAGACAAACTTTATTAGAGACCTCCAGGTAAACTATCAGGACATGTTCATGCATTTACAAGGCACGCCCATTTGCTCAGTGAGCGGTGGAACAGTCTCATGACAGGCGCTCCTGTTGAAGACCAGCGGGGGGCCGACTGGGCAGAAAGGGTCCCACGAACACAACCTCAATAATCATTCAGACTTTGACATGACAAGGAGCTGCAGTTTCCTACACTCTGACAATCGTTAAAGGAGCAAGAAGAGCGAGACAAGGAACAAATGTGCAACAAACACATCACACACGCCGTGGAGAGCATGCATTGTTTTTTTTTTGTTGTTTTTTTTTTTTTTTAAGCATCAACAAATGCTCTTTGACAGCTATTTGGTCTTAAATGTTTAAAGAGTGTGTTAGTTTTACTATTAGGATGTATTTTACTTTTTGTGACCCCGTTTTGTTTCAGCGTTCCATCAATCTCCCTGACAGGCTTCGCTGCCTGAACAAACTCTGGACTGTTGGAACTTGACATTTGGAAATTTTTTAATATAAATTCAAACGTTGTGTTTTCTTATAGTCTTACTTTGCTTTCATTTCAACACAGTGCTAAACTCTGTTTTTCTCCCTCTGACAAACTGCTTAGATTACGTTACTGTTAGATTTTTTTTTTAAGAAATATCCCTGCTCAGGTAAGATGTGCCAGCTTGTGAATGTCTTTTTTTGTTTCCATCTAAGTAGGACTTTAAGATGTTCCATAGCTAAGACTTTTCAGACTGTCAGTGAAATAGAGGGAGTGAAATCGCTTATTATGATGATGATGATTATTATTATATTAAGGAAGGAATTACCGGGACATTGTACAGGATTTTTTTTTTCTAATGTGCCAAACATTCATTTTTTCCCCCCCCAGGATGTTCTAGTCTTAATTAATGCAAAAAATAAGAAGTCTTATACAATCAACTTTTCTATCTAACATGATTGTTTTAAATAGATAGCTGGTTCCCCGCCTGATCCAATCATAGCCAGCGCTCAGGGAGGAAATCTTTACATGTCATGTTGGTCCAGTTAGCCGTTCAGACGCATAGAAGAACTGCAGCTCATATTTCCAGCTGGTGTTTTCATAAACCCTGTTCTCTCTCTTTCCAAATCAGTTTGCTGTAAGCACAGTATCTGCTGTATCCGCATTTATGTCCATCCCTTTAAATCGGGCTAATAACAAAGGTACATTTTGGCTCCAGTATTATTTTTAAGGCATAATCTATCATTTTTGAAGTCATGATTTGTTTAAAGGTTATAGGCAGTTGAATTCTTACCTGAAGAAAGCGACTCTCCATTGATATGCATCTATGATAGCAGGAGTCGGAAGAAAGGGTTAATGCCTTGTTAACAGACAAAAAAGGTTAACCCCTTGATGCCTGTTGTCGCAAATACGCAACAAAAAGATTAAACCGTGTGAATCAGCTAGTACAGTGCGTGTTTCGTGGTCTTCTCAGTAAAAAAAAAACTAGGCAGTTAAAAACTGTTTCTTGAAAGCACTTCTGACTGTTGTGTGAAGAAAAAAAAGTAAATTTTTTTCTAGCAAAAATTTTCGAACTAAAGTTAAAGATTTTTATTCCGGATCAGAATATATTATGAAGAGAAAAAAACTCAAAACATGGAACTTGCAATTATAGGCAGTTCTAGATGGGGGGCAAGAGGGGCCAATGCCCCTTTAGATTGATCCCAAATCCTTGCCACGGCCCCTGTACTGAAAACAATGCAATATTTTAAATATATTTTTTTTTTGTGTGTGTGTGTGTTTACCTTGATTTGAGCAGGTAGGTAAGTTAATTTGCAGATGGAATAATATGATTTATGCTTGAAATAAGAAGAAAACAACAAGATAACAACTAGTGTTGCACCAATGCCATTTTTTGGCCCCAATACGATACCTGATACCTGGCTGTGTAGTATTGGCCGATACCGATACCATCTGTTTAAAATTGATGTGTGTGTGTGTATATGAAGAACTGCATACTACTTGGAGGTAAAATAATTGCCATCATGGCTTTATCAAGCTACTGCCTACCTTTGTGAAGCAGGAAAAAGACTAATACAAAGTGAATCCAGTAGAACTTTTTATTGCCTACTAGGAATGGGTGACAATAGTTGAATAATTTTTGGCTCTCAAAATGGTAACAGTGCCCTATTTGCTGGTACTCGCCGATACCAATATCACCATTTTAGTGCTGGATCGGGACTCTGTCCGATACTGGTATCGGTGCAACACTAGTAACAACATAGTATCTAATTATCTAGTTTTCATGGTCCTTTGATAAAACATCTGCTCAAATTAAGGACAAATACACAGATTTTAACACATTTCTAGATTAGTTTTTACAGTGTAATACTAAATAGTTTTTTATGACAATATGCCCTGACAGAAGAGGCCCCTGGACCAATTTAATATTTCACCTTTAAAATTAACTTTGAACAATTATTTATAAATGACAGTCAGCATGGAGCTCCAGCTGTACTAAGACAGAATCACAGTTTTCATCCATTAGATCGGGGGTCTGCAAATTCAGTTTTTTGGCTCACTTTTAATATATGATTCTTTTTTGTATTATTCTTTTGTGTGCATTCCCACCAGAAACAGCTAATACACATCCAGCGCACACCTAGGACCCTTTAGCGAGCACTTTGTTCTGGTACGACTGGTCCCTGACGCTGTTTGTTATCATTGTGCATTACATTTTATAATTTCATGTTAAATACAAAATCAATGTGGCACTTCATATAAAAACTAAGGCATCAATGAGTTAAATCAATTGTTATGTCAAAAAGCAATTAGGCAAAATGTATTTTGCAATGCAGACATCTCCCCTAATGAATTAGAGTATTATCTCCTTTGATGCATTGATAACATATAACTTTCATAATTTCACTTTCTTAAACACAAAATGCATCAAAGGAAAAGCTTTTTGTTGATTTGTTTAAAGATCTGAAATGTTTTAAGATTTGATGGAACGGTTTTGATGCATGTTATAAATAGAAGGGAGAAAAATCCGTATTTTTCATTATTTGGCCTGATAATTGCAGATGAATGACCATCAAGTTCAATCAGCTGATTATTTTAAAAGAAGGTGAAGAATATTTACACGGTAGAGTTGCGCTACTGATAATCTTCCAATACGAAACACATACAAAAGGTTAGAAACAAGTAAAGTTTTTTCAGGTAGAAGTTGCAAATTTTATTGGAGTTTCAGTTTTGTTAACAGTCATCTTTAACACCAACTTACTTTCCTGATTGCTTTACTCTTTCTTTATTAGTATATGTTCCACACAAGAAGACTACTTTCGTCTCCTACTTTCATATCCCCTGTAAACAATTACCGACTTTTCTGTTTATTAGGGTCTAGTGGAAACATAATTACAGCTGAACACACAAAAAAGAAACATTTTGTTTCTTTTTCTTGAAGTTTTTAACTGGACTTTCACTTTCCTCCTCTCAGACTAAGCAATAGCTTCAGACATTGGCGCTATCTGCTAAATGTAAGACATTCAACTTTTTGTAACCTTTACTTCAGAAGTCCTTAACTGTGCATTTAAAGGTACATATGCCTAGACCAAAAACAAAAAAAACATCAAATCTAGTTGATTACAATAAAATAATGGTGTTTTGATGGTCTTTTTTGCGCCTAAATAGAAACTCAGAATCGGACGTGATGAGCTGACATTAACAGATGTACAGTAGCGCCACCCGCTAGTATTGCTGAACTACCAGTAAGTAGAAGGTGGCCATTAAAGCAGTCACGAAATCTCGTATTCCCTGTCTCATGATGTTTCCATGGTAAATATACACAAAAATACTATATTTACTAACAAAATGAGCAAAAAATAACCTTAAAAGACGAAAAAAACACAAATACTCAGCTAGCAGGATGCAGTAATTTGTTATAAAAAATGCTGAATGCAACCAGACTGAGTTACAGTTGTATACATTAAAAAAAAAAATTACTCGGAATCAAGTAAAAGGTGAGAAAACATTCTCCTCTGGTGTAAGATGTTTCTGAATTCCTGTGATTCATACTCAACATGATGGGAGCAGTATGTTCGTTCAGACATAGCATGTCGCTTCCTTTTGATCACATGTTTAACTTGGTTTCAGATTAGCAAAATCCCTGCAAAGCAGAAGCTTTTTTTAATTTCAAACAGCTGATTCTCTGGGTGCTTTTATTATTATTTTTTTTACTTTTTAAAGCTTCATGACAAATTTTCAAGTCACAAATTTTTCTATTCGTTTTTATAAGGACTGAACATCAGATTTTGCTCCTTTTCCACTTCTGTTAGTTTCATAAACATATTAAGCACTGGATATTAATTCTGTTGTATTTTTCCTGTTTTTTTTCTATCTAGAGTTGACTAATGTGAAGTTATTGTTTGATTTATAACGTTACAAATTAGTCAATAAAGCCAGACTTCTTTTTGGAGGCGGAGGGGGGCCTCGCTGATGCCAGGCACCAGTTAACTGCAAATTGTTTTCAAAGCATTTTATTTTTTCATTTATTTAAACAAACTTTTGTTTCTGCAGCTCTGGAGGCGCCTGAACAGGTCACGTCGCCTCTGATCTTTTTCAAAACAACAACATAGAAAGTAACCTCATGCTCTTTGGTAGACGTGACCTGCAGAGGCAGAGCACACGTTTCATGGTCACACACATTTTTTTTTTCCTTTTTTGTGATGAGTATTGTATTTGAAATTCAATTGTGCGTTTTAACATTTCATTGTATTTATTAGCCTGTTTTGGCTCTAAAAAGTGTCAGTACATCTTGGTGAGAGAGACAATCTGAAAAAAATATATCTATGAATAAAAAAAAGGAAAGACTTGAGACTTTTGTCATTGATATGTTCTTTTGTCGTCGCTGTTTTGTTTGACAATCCATTTACAGCAGTACAATGGTTTATTTTTAAAAGAGAAGCGATTGTTTAGGTGTTATTTGCTCTGTTTTTGTGTGTGTGTGAAAGAGGCCTGGACAGGTAGTGCTTTATGAATTTTATTTTCCGTTGCTCTAAATGGAGCTCGTTTCTTTCCAAGGATCTAATAATTTCCAACACAAGGCTTTCTGTTTCCAAAGCCCAGCTATTCCACTTGGTCTTTATATTATGGTGGCCCATTTCAGTAAATGTGGCCTATTGTTCCACTGTGTGTGTGAGTGAGGTAAGGCTTCACATTCTGACTGTGCTGTGGTGAATACGCCACGGCGCCGGCGCTCGCTGCAGCCAATCCAGCAACAGAAACAGAGAACTCAGCCATATGAAACCACATAATAAATCTAATTGTAATTCCCAAATCGACTGTAGCGTCACTCTTCGAGGGGCGCCGACAAGTTTGTCGCACTCCTTTGTAAGGTTGTGTGTATCCCTGCCTGTGTGTGTGTGCCATTACTTTAAGATGGGAGGGGTTTCTTTATTTTTTTTTATTTTTTAATCATTCTGGTACTGTTGCCATGCTAATCTCATTAAATAAGTCATCATAGTTTACATTTCCTTTTCTCGAAGAATATGAAAGTTTTTGCAAGTTAACAGAATAGGTTTTATGCATTTATCAGGGTAAATAAAATAAGTTAAAAACCTAGAAAATGAATTAAAGCAAAGGAGGTTTTTAGACCTAAACCTGTTCTTGTTTGCCATCTTTATAAACCGGAAGGGTACAGAAAAGAAGCTGGTATGTATATTTATATATGATCTAGTAAAAGTTAACTTTAGATCAACCTGTTGGAAAATAACTGAATAAGGAAAGGAGATCAAGAAGAATGAATGAATGAATGAATGAATGAATGAATGAATGAATGAATGAATGAATGAATGAATGAATGTGGATGAAGTTCATGCTTAATAATTGTAAAATTGCATTAAACTATTCAATGAAATCCTCCTGGCCAGGGGTGGAACTAGAGGGGGACAAGAGGGACACTGGACCACCTCCTTAATCGGATTGGCCTTTTCAGGACCATATTGATTGACAGGTCGCAGCACCAGATGACTCCTGTACAGTATTCGGTGTTATGGAAAGGTTGAAAGACTTCAAAATAAAAAATAAAAGTCTCAAATATAAGTAAAAATCGCCAAAGCAAACTTTTACTTTAGGTAAAGGTTAGTTACTTTTTTGTAAGTAGAAAAAAATATTCTTATGGCTCATTTCATAAAAAAAAGATATCAGCCTTCAACTTTTAATTAATAGTTAACAGTTGCAATAAAAAAGCAGATAAATTAGTGCAGAATGTTACTTATCTACCAATTTAAAATGATTTATAAATATATTCCTGTGTTTGTTTAATGACACTTTGGTGATCAAACAGTTTTGTTTCAACCATCCATCCATTTTCCGTCATGCTTATACCAAGCGGGGTCCGAGGGGTGCTGGTGCCTATCTCCAGCTGTCTATTGGCGAGAGGCGGGGAACACCCTGGACAGGTCACCAGTCCATCACAGGGCAACACAAAACATTCACA